TGCAAAACTGGAACCCTCTTCATGTAAGACTTGCATAGTTGTTTTCAAACCTGCTAGCTTTTTTTCTCTGTGTCATTAACTGCCACCAATGTCTCTACCCATGGGTAGAGCCAATTCTAGTAGCTAGGGGTAGGATACTCTATTGGGTATCAGGAGACTCTACTCCCAACTCTGGCCCTGCCACCAGTGTCGTTTAGAGCTGAGGTTGTTTTCTTCAGGCTGTTGCTCCCTGCATAATGTTCTCTTACACCCAGCTGCATGTCTGGGAACTGTTAATTTTTCTTATTTAGTACAAAAGAAAGCAAAGGAGTGCAGGTATTAAGCTGCAAGGTATCATTTTTCATACCTTTAGACTCCTAGCAGTATCTCAGCAAGTGAAGGCAAGTTCTGGTTCCCCAGGGTATCATTTACAGGGACAAAAAGGTGAATATCTTGTCTTACCTGAAAGAAGCTGACAAGCTCGGAGTCAATCCAAGTGCACATCTGGCTTTGGAGGACTGGGTTTATATTTACAGCAATCTAAAAAGTTGATCTGTGACTAGAATGTGCCACTGTAGAGCAGGGGCATTTTTCAGCTGGGCAGGCACCCCAAAGGTGAGTTATCTTTACAGAGGCTGTGTTTGCTTTTCCTAGTGCCCTCCGTACTGCAGTGGGGAGATCCTGCCTCCCTCTTCTCATGAGAAAAACATCTCCTGGCAACCTAGCTCATGCGTCTCAGGATAGGATTTCGCACTGCTCAAAGTAGGGAAGAGGGATGTTCTCCTTTTTTATTTTGGACATCACTAATTTATTTCCTCTCAGCCATGGAAGCCCCATTCAGAAAACAGTCAGCAAGTGTGGAGGACCTGCTGTACCCCAAAGCACTGTGGAGCAGGCTGGTTGTATATCCCTTGCTTCTCTAGCAAGAAGTGACTGCCAATCACTTGTTCTTCTGACAGGCCCATGCTCTTGGGTCAGTACCTCCAGCTCAGCAAAAGTGAGAATGTGTTCTTATGGAAGCTAAGTCAGAGGATCCTCTACTTGAGTTCCCTACTGAAAAAGTCAGGAGCAATGATTTTACCTCCTTGATGCTGCTACTGGGAAAAAGCAACTTCTGCTTGAGGGCAGCCAGAGCAGCAAGACTCTGGGAGGCGAAAGGATGGGCCTCTGATCTGGGTCTAGTGCCTGATCACAGCAACCCTGGCTGACATCTGAGCTTTCTCATCTGTCTTGTCTATCTCATCCCAGCTCAGGAGACAGTGTGAGCCCTCTCTCCTCAACAAGGATCGGTTTTGTCTCAGTGAGAAGCCCCTGTAGAACCACAGTTCCCACCGTGCCATGAAAAAAATCCTCCACTCTGAGCATCAGCTAAAATTGCATGTTTTGATTTGGAGCTGATTAATCTCCATAAAGTAGGAGTCCGCTTACAGGGATCTACTGGTGAAGGTTAATAAAAATTCTATCTCCAGTCTATAACAAAGCCCTGACAGCTGCTTGCTGGTTCTTTCTAACTCCCTGACTCATTTGCAAGGGGTCTGGAAATGGACTGACTCTGGGTTGCATTGGGTTGTTGCAACACAGCCTGTCAAAACACAGTGTAGGGTTTCATATCGGCTTGCACCAGTTACTAAAAGTTTGATCTGAAATGCTGCAAAACTTCTTGGAGACTGGGTTAGGTACAGTAAAAAAATCAATTTCAACTGCTCAGTCTAAATTCTGTGCCACTTTGACAGGGGAAAATTCAGTCTTACGTCTGCTCTTGTATCAAAGGTCTGTGTAAGGTGTTATTACCTGAAACACAGTTTCTGCAGTGCTTTGAGGCTCACCCATTTCCTCTGTGCAAGAAATGAAATGAAAAGATGACGTTTAAGCATCACCAAGCCTCATAATTCATTTTTTTCTAAGTAAGTGGTTTGTAAAAAGTTTCTTGAAACTGTGCTCAAAACTCTGAACTGACCGATGGGGGGTGAACACAGCCTAGAGAGAGGTACCAGAGAGAAGAGAACATGAATTTTTTTGCATGTATACCAAAATTATGTCCCCATCACTGCCTCTGGCCGAGGAGACATGTTTTAAGGTATAACCACCTTTCAGGGTGAAAATTAGCTTATAGCTGAGATACAGTCATTCACTTGTGGAGCACTTTGTCTCACAACAGGACAAAAAATGTCTCACCAGTTATGCCATCCCCAAAGGTGATACATAAAACTGGCACATGAATTCTTTCAGCTTTACCTTGGAGAGGAGTACACGTGCAGTCAGGAATGGTGTCTGAGCAGATGGGCAGTGTGAAGGGAGGCAACTGTCTGATAATCCTCTGTGGGGATGGGTAGGACACCTTCCAAGGCACGCAGGCAGAATCTGTGGGCTTTGTTCATGGCAAGTAGGGTGTATATATATCTGGAGGTAACAAAAAGTTACAACATAGTACAGATGTGTCAAAGGCATTCTTCCAGTTCGTGCTACTGAAAGAATGAAGCAAACTCAAGTTTTCAAACAGGAAGCAAACGTCTGATTTTCAGAATAATGATTAAAGGAATTGTGTGGGTTGAAAACATCTTTGAGGATTTGAATAGCTTAAACCTTCCAGTGTCTTCAAAGGTGCTTTCATGTCTACTCAGTTATATTTAGTTTACTGGGGGTTTTTTTAAAGGCTGTAAGGCAGCTCAGTGTTGTGTCTCCCTTGGCTTTCCCAGTACAGTAAGTGGTACTGGCAACTTACCAGCACAGCCAGTGCTAGGGAAATGGAAGTTTTTTTTTTTTTTTTTTTTTTTTTTT